AACAAGTTAAACAATACCAAAGAAACTTAATGTTGTGAGAACATTAGAGAGAAGGTTTGATGGCACGACTCAGGAAACAGGACACTGCTGAATATTGTGCATCATTCAAGCCTTTATGGTGACATAAAGCAAACAGACTCCATAATAAGTAGAAAAAGACATTTTAAATGATTTGGAATTGCATGTATGTTTCTGCAGGTAATGTGGCTGGAAGGCACAATTGTTTCTTGTGTTTAACATGCGCTCATCATGTTATTGTTTGGTTAACTGAAAAGAAAAGAATCTCCTTTGGTAAAGTAACCAGAAGCTGCCAGCGCATTTCAGCTCAGTTAGATGTGCAACCCCGTTTACAACAAAGTTGGGATGCTACATACAACTTCATAAATAAATTCAACTAACAGCTAACTTGCAGCTAACTGGCAATAACAAAGGATTGGATTCAAAAAGAGCATTGGCAAGATTTAGACGACTTGGACTTGTCCGGCACTCTTTAAAAGACCGTGCAAGCAAACAGTTTAAAATATTTGTCAATGTAAAATGTAATAAGCAACAATTTCTTAAGAGCAACAAATCACAATAGCCATCTGGAGACAGTGTATTTTACCTAATATCACAAAAACATTCTGATAAACTGGGAAACTCTTTACATAAAAGGACAAATTAAATATCAGTTTTATACTGGAAAATGCTGCATGGGCTCAACAACACTGCTGGACTCTATATTAATATAGAGTTCATCTTATTCCAGGATTTTCTGGGCCCGTGTTTATTTAAGATAGGCTGTGGAAAACGCTCCTGCTGTCTGACCAATCACAATTTAAGGGAGCGAGCCCATCTGAATGTTTGGTACATTAGCGCACACGTTACAGCTAGCATTCAGCATTTTTCTGCAGCTTACACAGCATCCCAGCCCGGTTGGAAATGTGGTTGTAGGACGGGCAAATAAAACCTGAGTAATGACGGGAAAACAAGATCTTAATGCTAATTCTTCTGTGCACGTAAACATCAAAATGTAAAGCAAACCATCCCTGTGTGCGAGGCGTGTTTTGCTGAATTGGAACTGGAGTGTGTGCTGAACACTTGTTAACTACGTGGAATTTGTGTGCTCAGGAAACACTTCTGGTCAACTCACATAACACAAATAATTTTAAGGTATAAACCCTCCAGTGATAAATGCTGCACACTTTCAATTTGTTCCCATGTAACATTATTTACAAGGCGATACAAGGAAAATACAGGGAATAAAGGATCAAAGCACTTCATCGACCTGCAAACAGCTGCCAGATGGCAGTGGGAAAATGGCTACAGACACTGAGACACCTTAAGATCAACCACTGAATCTGACTGCAGTCTCTGTAGAGGTCAGGTAGTTTGGCTGGTGGATAGTAAAGGCAAGAGGGATACGCTGAGGAATGAGGCTGAAAAAAGTACTTAAAGCAGTGAGAAATAGTGGTCTCATGTTTCATTTCTCAAAATAACTAAAGATGGACCCCAAAAAAGAAAAAAAGAATATGCATATTGCATGCCCATGCAATGCAAGTAAAAAACATAATTTTCACTTTGTAACTGTTCAACAGAACTGCTGAATCAGCACCGCCCTAAAATTCCCCAAATACAGGCAACAATGAACCAAGTTACTCTGAGGTTTCTCTTCTTGATTCAAAGAACAAACTTCCATTTCAGCCGAGTGCTGCAGCACGGACGTCCACTATCCAGGCTAGGGTGGTGGTGCAACAAAAGCTGGGTTGTATGGAGGCTGGACTAGGAAGTCTGCGCCTGCAGGTGGAACGTTGGGCTGCGGCTGGGTCGGAGGCTTCAGCGGGTACGCCGGCTGGCCGGGTGTGAACGCAGCCTGGCTGTAAGGCATCGGTTGTGGAGGATAGGCAGGGCCAGCTGGAAACAAAACAATGAAGTTGGCGTGACAATGAACACAACCTCAACTTCAGCTCTGCAGCTTGAATGTTTCATTTCCCTTTTGAGAAAAACCTCAAAAGGCCCACGTCTATGCAACCGCAGTTTCCACCTCTACATCTGAATACAGCAGTTTTGCAAAATATTATTGCTAAATCTGAAAACATTTAATGAAACACAATAGTTAATGTCGAGCATTTCTTTAAAAAAAACTCTTTAATTCTATCCGAAAACCTTTGTTTCGCACAGATCAGTTTGAAAAAGCTACACCTTCAGAATATTCTTCTACAATAAAAACTAAACATCTAACCTGCATTTTATAAGTGGCTACAATTAAATTACAGTCATTCAGGCTCAAATCAACAGGGGCTTTCTGCTCAAACATTCTTGATTTGCATAAAAAGTTAGAACATTTATGATGATATAATTAAAATTTTAGCATTTTCTTCATATTTGTGATTAGGAATTCTTTATACTTTTTTTAGAGTATTGTGAAAATCACAACAAATACTGGCATGCTTGTTTGTTTTAGATATTTTTGGACAGAGCAGCTCCTTTTCCCAGTTAGAAGCTTCAATCAGCATTTCCTCAAACACACCGTTTTGGTGTTCAAAGCCTATTTAAAGCTAGACCAACACAATGTTTTGTTAATTACAGGGATGAGGAAAATTCACACTTACTTGCATCCTGATAAGATGGTGGTGGTCCTGGTGTGAATGGTTGTCCATGGTAGGGTGATGTGGGCATGGACTGAGCTGGATAGCCCGGCTGAGCTGGATAACCAGACTGAGCTGGATAACCAGACTGAGCTGGATAGCCGGGCTGCACTGGTACTGGCTGGTAGGGCATTCCCTGGTAGGACTGAGATTGTCCAGGTACTGCAGTTGGTTGCTGCGGGTAACGCTGAGGAGTGGTGGTGGTGACCACTGTGGTGTGGGTAGTGGTCGCTACCACAGCTGCAATTAAACAAACAAACAGATTAGAAATATAGAAAACTTTGGCTGTTTTACATGCAGTGTAGGAGTACAACTACAGGAGGAATTATTCAGGTATGGAGATAAAAGGATTCAAACTAGTTTCACTTTAAAAAAAAAAAAAAAAAAAAAAAAAAAAAACAGGACATCCTCATAAACTCTTATAAATGTTTATTACACACATAACACACTCCATAGGCATATGTACTAAATCCACATTGGCTTTGTCGTGATTGCCAGTGCAGAAAGATTTAAACACATCAGGAAAAACGATCTCTAAAGAGATTCCAGTAGAGTCAAAGGTATTTGTACTTCCTATTCTGTTTGTATCCAGGAGGATATGAGATAACAGAGGATTACAGACCAACCAACAGCACAAATAAAATGATCCAAATGTCCTGAACTTGTTTGGAACATGCCACCAAGTTAAACACACAAGTAACTTGCCTTGGACAAATATGAGGCAAGAGCTACGCAACTTCTGCAATTAACCAACTGTAAAAACCCAGCTCTCAAGAAAAAAAAGAGAAAAAAAAAAGAAAACTAAAATAGTTTACAGTTTCGATTCCTGCAAATGGATCTTCTAACACTACAGCTTAAACACAGAAGACAGGATATCCTGGCTGGTAATTAGCCAAATAATTGACAGCCAAGATCCAAAACGTCTTCAATGTGTATCATAATGTATGGATAATATTCTTATAAAGAATGACTGAAAACTGAATATTAATCAGAGAAAGACAAGAAAAGGGTGCAGTTTTAAGTAAACATCCTCGATCATCCTCTCTAGCTTCGCCTAATGAAGAAACAGCCGTGCCATAGTCACACTCAGAGTGTAAACCCATCGCAGTGTAAGCTCAGTAAAAAAAAAAAAAAGAAGAAGAAGAAAAGAAAGCCATCCTACGTCATTTACAGGAAGTGGTCGTGAAGATGTTGAAGAACATCTTCGTTACACCCCCAGGTGGTGTTTAAAGAAGATGTTCTTCAACATCTTCACGACCACTTCCTGTAAATGACGTAGGATGGCTTTCTTTTCTTCTTTTTTTTTTTTTCTCCTCTCTTTCCAGTCTGTGGTTGTCATAGAAACAATGAGTCACACAGCGTGGAGCTCTGACTTCCTGGATTTGATCCCATCATACCACTGGAACTGAGGCAGCCAAGGAAGCCAGACTGCGTTCCTCACTTGCATTTTAGCCTCTCCGCCAGAAGACTGTCGCCTAACAGCAAAACATTAACCAGCCGACTGACAAAGCTGACAGGAGGTGCAAGAACTGGGAAGAGCGTTCATTATGGTGAATGCACGTCTCTGTAAACATAAATATGGACGTGTGGAGTCAGATGCTTTCCTCTATTGAGCAGAATTTTTTTTTAAATTCTTTTTAGGGAAGCGGATCAAGATGTGGCCATGGACATTAGCGGTTTCAAAAACACAGGATAGTAGAAAGAACTGTTTCAGGGAATTGTGGAATTAAGGAGGATAAAGTGGAATACAATGTTTATAATCTACCGCAGATAAAGAGTTGAGCGCTGCGGTCTTGGCAAAATAATCTGTCAAAGTTTTCTTTCCTATTGAAGGCCGGTGCCCTCTTCACCTATATGGGAGATTCCTCTTTCTCTCCTCGTCTCTCCTTCACTAACTGAGAAATGCAACAACCTCCTCCTCTGTATATTTAAGCCTGTGATTTTGATTTATTTTTGAGGAAAGTAAATAAGGCACATTAAGTAGAGTTACGGGTAGAAAAAAAGGCCAGTTCAGCAGATATTTAATGGACAAGACTGATGATGCGGGATATTTTCATTACTGCCAAGAAAGCCAATGAAAAGCCCACAAGTTTAGTTTAAAAATGTGTCAAATATTCATCTGCATTTTCTGGACTAAACAGTGACGCTTTCAGGAACTACTTTCAGCGGTCTTTGTCTGTTGTGAGGAAAAAGTGGAACAGGAGGAAAAGGGATAAACTGGAATTTACATTCAATGTGAATGTGTTATCGACAGATAAATAGACGCCTTTGGAAAAACATCCATCCAAAAGGGAAAAAACAAAAAACAAAACAAAAACCACAACGATGCTTTATGAGAGAAATCAAAGAAGGTGAAGAGGAAAGTAGTAGTTAGCCTGGGTCAACTATTTATGATAGAGAGAGCTTCACGACATCACAAAAATGATTTGTGATCTAAAAATAAACAAGAAACAGTCACAAACCAACTTCTGAGGTGAGAGAAAAGAATAAATGTTACATAAGCTACACTTAACCTATGTGGTTATCACAATAAATCTGCATTGCACTGAATTCCTAAGCAACTTCAAACAGTCTCGCTATGTTAATACGACACTGGGAAATGCTATCTGCTGTCTTTAATAGTATAAGTTTTTCTTGGTTTGCTATGCGAGTATTTCCCCCAAAAATGTGCTGATCATACTGACTAACAATCTGGTGTATCCAGGAGCCTCGTTTAGAGTGGTGCCAACAGCAAAATAAGGCAGTAGGTCACCCCGTGGAGAGGGGTCAAAGTACGATCCATTGAGGGATCGCTAACACAAACAGAGAACACATCCAGATATACCACAGTCCTCTGCAAAGTGTTGTGATGATGCCAAAGTTGGTTTAATAGCATCAGTTAATTTCTGGCTGTAGTTGGGTGAGATTTGAGAGTGGAAAAAAAATATATATATAAAGACACTTAGGAACGCTGGAGTTGTGGTTAAACAGACAGACATAAACACCTGTGCAGGTGGGCTGGGCCATATCATACTGTTCACGGTAATACCGGTAAAATGTTGGGCAAAGATAAGAAAATGAAATATCGCAATAGAATATGGATCAAACGCGCATGTGCAGAGCCTTTGTTTTCATACGCACATGGCGGAAAAAGCATGGCGGCGACGGAGAATGAGGAGAGCGAAAGCGGATCGTTGAATGAAACTGATGAACCAGAACTGGTTTGTAAAAATGCTGCAGCTTCACTGGTGCGGAAATGGTTTAGCTTTGTCCGTCAGATACACAACAAAGCACTATTTTTGGTAGCGCATGCTGGCGGGCCGTCGTTATTACCGTGTTGTTTGGAAAATACGGCACTTAAAATCAATCCTTTGATTTTTCTGAAAATCGACAGTGCCCCTTATAATCCCGTGTGCCTTATGTATGAATTCTGGTTGTGTTTACTGACCTCGAAACGATTTTATGTGGTACACGGCGCTCGAAAATCTGTCAAATGTTTCAGTACGACTTTGCTAAGCTACAAAGCCGCACCGCTTGATGGATTGTCGGAGCATTACGGCTATCGTAGGCAGGAGCCTCGCGGAGTGATACGTACTGTGCTTCAACATAATATTACCGTATTGTGTGTGTATAACCTCTTTTTAAGTTTTGTGGATATTATACATGGTTATGCTGAGGATATGTCGGCCAGTTTCCACTGGAAATGCCTTTTGGTTAAACTGTCAGCAAGGAATTTGCATTTGCACTGTTAAATTTTTATATAACTTTAATGCACATAAAAAACAGCTGCTTGTTTAAGTGAAAATACATTGATGGGGTTTTTTTGCACTAATAAAGTTGTGGAGTTGTAAAGTATTTTGTCTAGTGTCAATTATATCGATATACAAATTTTCAAATGTATATTGTGATAAATATTTTTGGTCATATCGCCCTGCTCTAACTCTAAGCAACTTAAAGCTGGTGTTTCCATTTGTGGGAAACTCAAAGTACTCAAAGTAAGCAGATTCAAAAGTCAAGTAAAGACATGACCCCTGAAGAGAAACAAATAAAGCAGCATCGTAGTTTGGCACCAACTCTAAACAGCAATTATCTTTAATGACATGCTGAGTCATCGTTCTGAGGGGCAAACTCTCACCAAGAGAAACACTGAAAAGCCAAAACTTGTACAACAAACCAGAGAAACAAAGTGCGAATGAGGAACTTCACAGCTCTGAAGGGTTCACAAAGCCTCTGTATACTGTAGTGATTCTGAAACATTAGGTCAGGTGGTGCACTGTGCCTCAGCTGTGATGTTAGTCGTCAGGCTACATTTTGCAATAATGAAAGTCATGTGGTGGGTGGGCCAACAGTCTTCAAATGAGTCCCCTCATGATCTGCTTCAAAAACTACACGGACAAATCCTCCAACTCACTAGAAACCAAGAGTCTGGCTTCTTTAAGACATGGCAAAAAAAAGCAGACATTCGTGTCTATGTAGGTGAGAAGCTCAACAGCAGACTGTTTTTTTAAAAAGTGTTGCTTGTTGGCCGAGAGCAGACAACCTGCAAAAGTGCAGCAACATGTTGCAGATGCATCAGCACGGGCCTACACGCTGTCTACATACTAATAATAGGAAGTGTCACCGCTAAAGGTTGTGGTTACTTTATGTGCAATAATTGCCAATAAGTAACAATTACTTCAATGTGTCAGAAATCCCCTGAACTGCAGAAGATTCTCCCAGTGCCATGAAAAAGCTTCTTGAATCAGAGACCACATGAGGTTTGGGATGTGCTGTAGACGAGCTTAGGTATGTGACTTGTGTAAGCTTGTTCCCCCGAGTCTGCAGAGAAAATGTGCATACACGACAGTATGACTCGCGCTAATGGGTCCTCGATATAAAGGTGATAGAAAGATTTAAAAGCACCAGTCGTGCAACGCGACTAATGCCGTTACATTTATTTATCTAAGACCCTCGTTATACTTTTTGCATCTCCGAGTCTTCCTGGTCTGACTGATGTAATCATCACACAGTGAGCGTCCACGTGTCTGCCAGCTGTTTTCAACTGCACTGACCTTTCTGCAGGGTCTTTACATTACAATGCACCAGCTGAATGAGCTGAACTCAATTCAGCACATTAACTCTTCATAAACTGTTACTGGTAAGAGCAGATGCTACAATTAGACCCTTATTGCGGCCCTTGGGAAAATATATTGTCCATTCTTGGCTTAAACAATCAAAGAAAGAATTAGTAAAACTTACGGCGTGGTTTGCGGCACATGTTGTACAGGCAACAGCAGGGGCAGACGCAGCAGCAGATGAAGATGAGTACAAAAATGATGGAGCCCACAATACCAGCCACCATGGGTAACGTATTATCGATATGATACTCGTAACTAGCACTGTTGAAGCTATCAACATTGTTGGAGCTGAAAAGGAAAAAAGAAATTGGTATGAAAAATTATCTTTACATGACATTAACTTACTACAAAACAGAAAAAGGAAACATTTACAAGTCACCAAGTCAAATTTAACCATTTTAGGACCTTTTTAAAACTGGAATTAATCACAAACCCAAAGTATGATGAAATAATTAACAAGGCCATCATGTATTTACTAGTACGCTACAATTTCCAGACCTTCAAAGCACTACACAACAAAAACAACTCCTGATACTATAGTTCAAGTAGAACCACGGTGCTGCCTCCCTTTCCTCAGAGTTTGTGTTTGCAGGTGTGTCACCTTCCAAAAACCAGCACAAAACATACAAAAGGTCCTTTTTCTGGGCTTTGGGAGATATTTTTACGAGAAGCTGAATTCACTGTAGTTCAGTGGTTTCAAAAAGAACAGATAACCTGTCAGTGCTACAGCAGGCATGTGGAGGAGTATGGTCTATTAATCTTAGGGATAATGTGAATGAAGGCCTCGGTGCAAGCTGTAGCTGACTCACACTTCAGCTTTATGCTGGTGGTCGTGCACAGGAAAACCTTACTTCCTGTTTCTTAACGGCCTAAAACACACACTTGGCTGTAATTACACAGAGAAAAGGGGGGGGGAAATGAAACCAACATGGAAAATAGATTGAAGGAGAAAAACATACCACTTTTTTTGGTCATCTTCTTTAAAACGACTGTAATAACTTGAACAACAATATCTGTTATAGCAGCTCCCACAGCAATATCCTGAATAGCATTTCTGGACACTTTGGCCCATGTAGGCCAGGCAGTCGTCCCCTGCTGTAACAGAGCAGAAAGAGGGGCAGCAAAAATTAGCTCAATCGTCAATAAATCATTTCAAATAAATCAATTAGTTTAATTATTAGTTATGAAATTTCACTTTTCAGCACTGCAACTTGGTGACTTTTGGGAAACTTGATTCACCTTCAGTTTCATTTCAGAGGATGTAGCTCTGGGTGTTGTTGAAGTCTACGACACTGTACAGAGACGTTTTCACACCCTTATTTATCCTCAGTTTAAAACCCTGCTGTTTCCACTTTGTGGGTACTTTGGATGATGTAGTTTCCACTGCTGCCAAATTATCATTCACATGTTTCTTATACTACAACCGAGCTGTACCCTGCTCTGTACCTAATTAACTGGCAGCTTTTGCGACCAGATTATACTTGATGGTAACTATGAGCTGAAACGTTAGAAAACAGCCGTACGTAAACCCCCATTACCGTGCACATGGCTTTCAACAAATAAAATGAGGCTGTAACAAACTAATCTTTCGGTCTTTTTAAAAGGTTTAAAACACGACCTGTAACTCTAACGACGACCGTCTGTGACATCGCCCAAGCAGCGGTCTAATATCGATGTGACGATAACATCACAGACTGCGTGGCGGCCTGAGACAACACGCAGTTCGATAGCTAATGCGAACAGCGACCGTTTACAGATTAAAACAGTCAAACTTACCGGAAACACAAGGGAACAGGACCACATACAAAGCCAACGCAACAATAGTGGACAGGCCTGGCGCCATGTCTACTCCAACACTCCCGGATTCAGTCAAGGAACTGAGAGTCTTCGACAGCTCCGGAGGAGGAGGAGGAGGAGGAGGAGGAGGAGGTGTGATGGACTCTTCGACTGCGGCAAAGCTCGTCTATTCCCGAAGCTGCCTCGCTCGGTTCATGTTCCAGCCCACTGGACTGTTTATAGGGCTTTGTAGTTGACGTCACACCGCAATGCATTGTGGGAGCGCGGCACCATATTCGGGGTCTACGAATCAAATCAAACACACTGTGTTGGAACAACGATTACAAGATGCTTAAAAGTAGCTCGTGAGCATATTAATACGTCTTTATACGCAGTTTTTGGCTACGACCGTAGATGTTCTGTATAAAAACGTTTTACGAAGCGTGAAAACTACAATAAATACGGAAAAGAACTTAACGATAACGGATGTTTTTAAAGCGGCTGCAGACAATGTGGCAGACCTCCACAGGAAGTACTTCCGCGGCGGAAGTTGATCATTATTTTTTTTGTTTTATTTTTTGCTTTGTTTTTCTTTCGTGCTCATTTAGTGACATTTTACAATATTTAAATTAATTTGGGGCTGATTACCCAGAGCCCCAGTGACAGAAGGGGCTCCAACAAGCCTGCAAACAAGAGTTTTTTGTGTAATTTATCTCTAAGTAATAACTGTCACAAATTGACTCGATTTCAACGGAAATGGTTGATCATCGCAAATTGTGCATTTATTTCTTTGTTTAATCATAACTTTAAAAATAAATACAGTGAAAACACGGTATTGAGAGCATGCGAAGTTTCTCAAAGTTTGTATTGTTGCTCATATTGTCTTTGCTGTACACACATGCAGAGCTTGAGCATTTATTTTCAGAAAAGTAGTCGATTGACTCAAAGACCACGTGGAAGCCACTGCTGTGTATGTGAGTGAAGTTGCCCCCACCCCCCACCTTCTTCAAATCCAACAGAAGTGGTATCAAACGTTTGTGCTGCTATCATTTTAAAGATATTAATAAAAATTTCTAATAATAATAATGGATTGCATTTATATAGTGCTTTTCGGGGTCCTCAAAGCGCTGTACAATTCCACTATTCATTCACTCTCACATTCACACACTGGTGGAGGCTACAGTTGTAGCCACAGCT